CAGCGAGAGATAAGAAAGCAGGACAGTTCAAAACGATCCGACCCAGATCCAGGGTTGATTTATTCTAAAGTAATTAGGGTTATGTGGTTTCAAAAGGTCACAAATGATCCAATAAACAGAAGAAACTTTTTGTCACTCCTATGGGAAAGGTTGGTGTGGCTCCTCACCTTCCCACAGGACTCCTCCCCTATGACTATGTCACATCCAATACAATGGAAGAAATCCATCTTCGGCTCAGAGCATTTCTCAGAAGCGTCACATACAGGTGCTACTCAGTAAATTAGACATTTTTTTTGTAAGTTGATTTCTTAGACACAATATATTTTCCGCGATTTACTGCAACAGTGCAGCGTGGCATGGAGGCGACCAGCCTGTGGCTCTGCGGAAGTGTCACGGATTCCCAGGTGGATTTATTTGCAACTTCATCTATTCTTTCTCATGATCCTCTCACTGGACTTCAAGCAACTTCCAACTTCTCAACATCCTGCAATCTTGGCTTGCAAAGGAAACACAAAAGGAACTTTAAGGGCTTCTTATCACTTGTTTTTTCATCATCACTTGTCTTGTTTTTGTGTTTTGCTTCTTCTTTGTTTTGTTTTTATTATTATTATTATTATTATTATTATTATTATTATTATTATTATTGTAGCACTTAAATTTGGTTTTATTTTCTGGCTCTCCAAAAAATAGCAAAGAGTTTACAACGTTACAGCCTTATATTTTTCTATTCTTGAAACTTTAGGAGAGAAATAAATATTTACTGATCTCCCTCAACTTTGTAGAGTTCAGATGTTGCCACCTTGTGGCCGAAATGACGAACTTCTCCAGAGGTTCCACCCGTCGAGGATAACACCTTTACTGATCTTACAAAAAGCATAACCAAAGTTCTTAAAATGGGTGTTAAATATTACATTTTTAGAAGAACTCATCGAATACTTCTAAATGCATGCATTCTGCTACAACCAGCCCACTGAGGATGTTCATGATCTTGATGTGACCTAAAATGAAAATTAGCTTGACTCCCCTGCTATACAGGAAAAACAGGTCTAATTCATCACCTGCTATTTACAGCCCTATTAAGTCCAAGTTCATTCAACTCAGATCCAGTAACATTGCAATGAAGTCGTATCCAATTATCTTTTAAAAACATCTGATGCTTTGTCATCTTGAGCAACCATGTGACATCAGCGGAGAGGAAGAACTTAATTTTACCAGTGAGAAGCTTCCAGGACTTTGAGTTGTGCGGTGTCCATGTGTTGTTTTTCACTGAGTTGCGGGTTTTCCTCTGGAAGGATGAGGCTGAGCTGTGTGCTCTTGGTGCCTCTGCATTTCATCCACCTCCTCAGCTGGAGCATTAATGGAGCTACTTGACACCTAAGTGTCAAACATTGTGGAAACGTCTAGCTGCTGTCTGAGGGCCTCCTATGACCTATGCTGTTCTATGTATCTTACCAAGGTTTCTGTAAGTTTACCAGGCCGAATTCTCAATTTTTCTCCTGGAGATTTCTCTTCTCACTTCTCTACCCTGATTAATCTGATCTCCTCAATTAAGGCGTCAACAGAAGCAGCAAAGTTAACCAGTATGGATTATTACATTATGTCTTTACTTGAAGGAGATTGTCATCGCTACTTTCTTACCACTTTGAGAAGATGTTCACCATCTAAGCTAATGGCGAAATAAATGTTTTAAAGATTAAAAGTATTTTAGAGGAGAGAAAAAAATGTTGTCATCTTGCTAATTACATGAAGCTCTTCTGAAAAATATTCTCTCCTATAAGGAGTCTCCTGACTCCCATGAGTTTTGAAAACATCTTAGATGGCCAAACGTGTGGGGGTTCTTTTATGTTGTTGTTGAAGCTCTAAACTGGAAATAGAAAATTTGGAATTAAATAAAAGGGATTTAATGTTGAAGTTTATTAAGTCTTTGAACAGTTTGGTAAATCATGTAATAATTGTTTGCATTTGAATTAAGCAGTTTTTTTAATATACCTATGATAAAAAAAAAAGAATTGCTAAAGATTAAAGAGCTTTGTTCCTTCCTGAAAAGTTTTCTTTTGTAACAGAGTCGAAAGAAAGTGGTAAAGAGTTTCTGTAGCATAAAATATAAGAAACAGAAAACTGATGCTGATTTTAAATCATGTTTGAGGTCTCTATGAAATTTATACACTTAACTGTGAACAGGATCCTGAAGAATAGAGTTCAATTGAAGCATTAAAACATACTGTATAAAATATAATGATTAAAAATATATAAAAGATAAATGATGACTGTTTTTTTTATTGATTAAATTTTTGACAAACTGTAAACTTTGTGACACACACACGCACACACACACACACACACGTGCACACACACACACAAAAAATCAAAATCAGTTTCTTACGCATTAGAGGGTTAAAATAAACAGAAAGACATATTGAAGACACAGTTTGCAAAAGAAAAAATTAAACAGACAAATATACAAAAGAAGAGATTAGTTAGGGCCAAGTCACCATGTGCGTATTCATTACATTTATGACATAATTTTATCATATTTCACGTCTCCACCCTATCATGTGTAAAGTCCACTCTGTTATGTCCTTGTTCACCTTGTCATTTTCATCATTTATGAAAATAAACAATTTATTTGCTAAACGTTTGTGTGACTCCTTTACAAATAACTGAGGGCCATATAGAACTGTTTGAAAGTTAATTGATATCTTTGATATCTATTCAGAAAAGAAAGTCTAAGTCTGAAAGATTTAACAAGAAACAAAGAGTTTGCCATAATTTTATTAGTATTCAAATTCTTTTCCTATCACCAAAATTATATTGTTGAAAAGGAGACCCAAAAGCTTTCTAAAAATATGCATCTTGCAATCACCATTACAATGTATTTATTTTTGTTTTGAATATGTCGATGATATGGTGGAAATATTTTGCTGTTTGCATGTTGGTTTGTTTTGGTGGCATTTTATTCATAAAAATTTGATTAAACATGCATTTCAAATAGAATAACATCTACTTAATAAAAGGATATGAAGTTCAATGGAAACCCTCAGCTTTTGGAAATGGGAAAGTCTCAAAGGCACCTTATGGTTATATTGACTTAAAATGTGTCCAAGGGTTAAATGTGTTAATTATTACATAATGCGGTTTTTATTACCTTTTAAGACCACATTTTGTTACATAATAGCATATATAATACGGCACTGCAATCCTGATGGTGCTCTCTTGCTGAGTAATTCCCGTAGTTAAATGGATAGTAGGAAATTTGATAATGTGTCAGTTTTATGTTTACATGTATAGTGGTTTTTATATAAAGATTTTTTATTATAATCTGAAATAGTTTCACAGAAATGTTTAAAAAATGAACACAAATTATACCTCTAATTTCTGCATATTCTTAGGATGAACTCTAGTAAATAAAATTTCCCTCCTGATAATTATGTGACATCAAAAGGTAAAATAAAATTTTACTATGTGGTTATAAAATTGGGTTTGGTTATAACCAAGGGGATAAAAGTTGACTGAAATTTTGATCATCTTATAGTTATGTTGTTGGTTTAATGTTCATCAACATTCCAAAAGGAACCTTTCCTGGACCAAGTTTGTCTCGGGAGAAATAACTTTCAGCGGAGCAAATACGGAGATAGTCTCACACTCTCTTCAGTGTTTACGATTATTTTCCTTTTACTGATCCTATAAAACCGACGTGTTGTCTTCCTGCTGGTAGAACGTCTCACTTTGATCCGTTCAACATTGTATCATTTGTAAGCGCTCATTTTATGAGCAGGATATTAATAAATCTGACTGAGTGACTCTAACCTTCACAGTACTTGGCCTTTTTTTCTTTTTCCTTAGCTAACTGTGGTCAGATGGCACCTGAAGATTCGTTTGTTGCATCTGGATTTCCTGACGTCGGTTGAAAAAGCCTGGAGAAATCCTCTTAGACTGTCAAGAAATTCAGATCTGTTAGATTAGCCATTTTATGTTATTAATCAGTTATAATCTGGCTTCCCTTCTGGTGCCGTGGACAGAAACACAAAGCTGCTCTTTGTGGCACATCAGTGGCTTTGCTCTGTTTCCAGGTCTGGCATAAAAGTGCAGGAGTGCAAAAGTAAGTTCAATCACACAAACAAACAGCATTTCAAGAAGTAAATTTAAATATATTTTGTGCTTACCAATCATGTTTTAGAACGTATATGTAAGTTCCCTATTGCACCAGTACTTTGTCTTGTGTTGGTACTCATAGATTAACCCAACTAATCTGGATTAGAGGCAGTACTTCTTGCAGATAACTGTCACGGTCCATAAAGTCTGCTGTCAGTATGCTGTAGCGGCGGTTCACCATGAGAAAGATAAGAAGCATTTTAAGAGGGAAGACCCGCCATGCTGTCACAGAACTGACGAGTTAAACTCACAGGAACTGGACTGAAGAGGCTTCACTTCACCAAGGTGAAAGTTATTATTTCAAATTGTTATTAATATTTTAAAAGGCTAAAGTTTCATTTTAATCTCAGGCATAAAGATGTTTTATGAATAGTAAAGCTCTAGCTCAGAATTATAGCATAGCTGGAAGTAGAAAAATACATTATGTAATAAACATTTTGCTAAGAAATGATGTGCATGCATTGCATTGGTTAGCTATGAAGGATTATCAGTAAAAAAAGAATCAATACATGCTTTTCAAACTTGGTAATATTAGTTGTCTTTGCTCAAATGCTGCTCTACTGAAGTTAAGTTATTAATTACTAAAATAAATTCCAGCATCAGATCTTTAAACTTGCTCTAATACAGTATTGTTTTATTTCCACTGACAATAAAACATCTGTCATATTGTCCAGTAGCAGATGTTCCTTCAGCCTCTCATTGTTTTAGCAGCTTTGGGATGCAGCCCACCTAACACGTTCTTCACAGCTGGCTCTCTGGTGTTAACTTAATGCTGCTCACCAGAAGGTGGCTGAGGAACTGACAAATTAAAAAAGTGATCATCCCCTTTGTTTTCTCGTATTTCTTAAGCAGGAAGATGATTGCTGCTTGCTGGAGGAACCCCGGGGAGCTTTAGAAAACAGAATAACTTTCTCTGAAGACAGACCTTATCGTCGAAAGTTTCATCTGAGCTCTTGCGGAGAAGGACTGAAGCATGCAGGGCCGCGAGGTCGGCTCCAAGATGCGCTACTGGCTGACGCTGATCTCGGGGATGCTGGAGTGTCTGTGCTTTGCTGGTGTGGTGTTTGGCTACACCTCTCTGGTGTTTGTGCTGAAGGAAGACCAGTACTTCAGTGAGTTGTGCAGCAACAACACAGTCAGCAACAGCTCTCTGGTGGAGACAGGTGAGCAAAAGAAGAAATAGAAGACTTGTGTGATTTAAGTTTCTGAAGACGGGGCTATTTGTTTAATTTCTCCAGTTATTTGGGTGGTGACTTTGCTGTTTGCTTGTCAGTTGGGTCAAAATGCTCTATCCCTGCATGAACGTCTATCCTAAAGCTGGATAAAAAACATAAATCATCAGAGCTGCAGCAGGAGATAGCAAATGGCATTAAAACACACTGTATAAAACGAGACATAAAGCATATCAGTTTGGATTATTAAAATTATGTTTATTTGGTAAAACCCAGAGAAATAAGAGAGGGACATGAACATGTAGCCACTTGGAGATGATCTTGCAGCCTTCATTGAAGAAGACTAAATGTTGAAACCAGATCTAAAGATGCATAAAAAATATTTCTCTAAGTATATAGACACACCTGCAGATGGTGACACCGTGGAGCTGTAGTCACAACGTGACTGGAAAAAGCTTTGAAGAAATTATTTATGGTCTAATTTGGTTTGTACACATTTCAGAGTTGCTCCATGGGCTGATAACCACTGATAATCGCCATTCTATGGGATGATGTCTGAGTGTTTTGCTCTTTCTTTCAGACTGCAGAGGTCAGGATGAGCAGTTTTCTCTGGTTTTCACTATCGCCTCGTTCCTGAACAACTTCCTGAGTCTGATCAACGGCTACCTGTTTGATCGATTTGGCACCATGGTAACAAGACTGCTGGCAGTGTAAGTTTCAAGCACGAATCTTCATTCAACTCAGGGGGCACTAATCTATTTAATTACTAATTTTAGATTTCGGTTGCAGTCTACAATGCATATAGAGAACTTTATATCAACAGTCTTGAAATTCTGCTTAATCTTCCAACTGGTTTATATACAGAACCCTAGAAACAGGTTTTATGTCAAATTTGAGCTTGTAGTTGAATTATTTCTGTTAGGATGAGAGGAGGAACCTTCAATGGTGAACGTGATAAACTTAGGGAGGGTCTTACAAAGACAGTTTACACCCAGACAGACGTCACCTCCTTTGACCACATACTGTCGACAGTTACTGTGTTTACCATTTAAATAGGCGTAGTATAAATAACAAACTAGATAGTGTCAATGTAAGCCATAAAAAAATGAACCTTTTTAACAAAAACACAAAAATGCCTTTAACTTTTATTAATGTTATATAAATGACCAGAGATACTCGTGTGTTTTCTCCTTCCAGATCTTTGTACACAACTGGAACCCTTTTTGTGGCCTTCTCCAGTGCAGGTCTGCAAACAGTTTGATGCAAACAAACATATTTAATTTATAAGGTTGTAGAAAGGGACATATTTAATACATTTAGTCAAACTGCTATTCATCTTCGAGATTACCGTCATTTTTTTCTCTCCCACTGTTCTGCAGCATATTCCTTGATGCTCTTTCCTGCCTTATCCTGCATCGCCGTGGGAGGAATTCTGCTCCTTATGACGAACATTCAGGTGGTTATTCTGTAAAAGCAGCTGCTCCTTCATTGGAAATCAAATACAGGGGGTCATTTTATTGAAACATTTGGAATTTGTTTGTTTTTGCCGAGGTGGGGAACCTGTTTGCTGCTCATCGCTCCACCATCATTACTTTCTACAACGGAGCCTTTGACTCTTCTTCAGGAGTCTTCCTCATCATCAAGGTGCATTGCCATGTTTTGCTACATATTTTTTAATTTGGTGGAAATTGAACAGATTATTATTTACATATGGATTTGTTTTAATAGGCTGAAAAACCAAACTTAGCAAAAGTCGGAAACTAAAAATAAAACACAAGATATCATTGCCTTTGTTTTATCTGGATATAAAGTTTCAGCTTTTGTAGAAAACAAAATAGGTAAAAACAAAAGAAAAAATATTTTCACCCATGTTGAGTTAGTGTACTGTTACAAAACTTGTTTAAGAAATGTCTTAAGAGTAAATAAAACTACAAGAACAAATCTGACAATTTAATATGCCGGAGCAAAGGACTGGACACCATTATAATATTTTACATTATCTAGACTCAAACTGTTATCACTGATGGGAGAATAAATCCTGAACTATGTGATCAATTTCTGGGAAAACCATTGTAACACCAGCCAGTGACTTTAGTCTGCAGTTAGTTTTAGTGATACAGAAAGACAACGAACCCTACTGCTGGGACACTTTCAGATGACAATAATCCTAGTAGCACAGAAAAGATTCTACAGATGAAGAATGGAAAGACTGCTTCAGATCACCATATGTTGTCTCCATTTCCCACTACAGATTCTACACGAGCGAGGAATCTCTCTCCAGTCCTCCTTCCTTGCCTTGTCCCTCTGCAGCATCATTCACGTGGCGAGGACTTTCCTCCTCATGCCCAGGACCCACATCCCGTACCCGCTGCCTCCACGCTACACATATGGGTGAGCGTCTTATTATTCATTGTTGTTTTCAGAAGGTTCTCTTCTGGGTTGAAACTTGACGGCATGCAGTGTGTCCTGATGTCCAGGGTGAACTGTGGACAAGCCGACAGCTACAACGTGGAGCAGGTCAAGAGGACGAAGGAGGAGGACGCATCCGGTCAGGGTTCCAGTGGGAAAGACGAAACGGCAAAGTCGGATGAAACAGAGGTCGAAAACGCAGAAAAAGGTATCAGGTTTAAGAGTGACAACGCCTGTGGAGAAGCTGATCAGTTCAACAGATAGATTATACCACAGCCTAATAGCATTTAGAAGCACGGAGGAGACTTAATTGGCTCCTGTACAATGTCTTGTAGAAGCACTCACACTGATTGAATATTCCACTTTCTGTCACATTACATCCACAAACTTCAGGGTATTTCTTGAAGATGTATTTGAGCTGGATCAACAAAATGTGCAAAAATTATTACACTGCAAAAACACAAAATCTATCCAAGTATTTTTATTTAGTTTGTAGAAAAAATAGAAACTAGATCAAAACAAAATGCGATATTATTTTAGGTGTATTTTGGTAGACTTGAAGTAAGACTCAACTTACTATTTAAGCTTGTTTTACATAATTCTTGAATGTAAAGTTGTTGGGTTTTTTTTTTTTTTTGTTTCAAAGCATATTTTTTTCTGATTTAAGTGAAAGTGCCAGCTGAACAAGTACTTAACTGACCTGATGTCCAGAGGCTCTACTCATCCCCTGCTGTAGCCACAGCTTGAACCTTTAGTTATGTGATGCAGCCTCATCTAGCAGAGAGTGTCTAACTTTCTTTGACACTGTTCAAAGGTTGTACACAATCTTTTTCATCTTCTGTGAAGAGGTGGGACATTCTCGCAGAGTTTGTCGACATCACATTGAAGCCTCTGAGTGACGCCCGGTGGGAAGCAAAGCTAGACTCTGTCAAAGCTATACGTTTCCAGATGGAGGGAGTTTTAGATTCACTACAAAAGCTTGAAGAAGTGGCAGGAGACAGCAAAATTGTCTCAGAGGCAAAGTCACTATCTAATGAGATTGTTAGTATGGAGTTCCTTGTGTGCCTCATAGTTTGGTATGACTTATTATGTGAGATCAACTTTGCAAGCAAGGCACTACAAGCAGCAGATGTGTCAAATGACACAGCCATTAGGCTAATCGAGTCTCTAAAAGAGTTTTTGCTCAAGTATAGAGAAGAGGGCTTTCAGAAGTCACTCGACATTGCAGGCAAGATAGCCATCGAAATGGATGCTTCTCCTGAATTCAAAGAGAAACAACTTAGGAAGCAAAAGAAGTTCCCAGATGACAATTCATGCCCTGGTCATCATGAAAAGGAACCCACAAGG